TGAGATTATGCAAATTGGGTAGCCATTTTGGAAGTGAATATTTAATAATTTATACATGACTACATTTTCATATGTCTGCCATATTATTTTTAAGTTTCAATAGTCAAATACAAATCACATGCCGATTTTTAGCTATTTTATGAGACATAAAATAATTTGCATATTGAATGTAAAAAACCCAGGTGGTTGGGATATTTGATTGGTTGCTGGATGCTCATTCCTAGCCATACAAATCAATGTGGCGGGTGACACAGGCAGTACACGTAATGGTGTTAGGGGGGAATTTTTAGCATGGATAGAAAAACGATTTAATTGGTAAAAACTTATTAGCAAAAAGTATACAAAAAATAATTTTAAGATTCTTAGTTTTGAATGAAGTATACAAACCAGTAGAATTTGTCAATATTTGGTGCAATAATGGACAGAAGGTGCAAGAATAAAAGAAAGAAACAAAGTCAATGAGCTTTCATTAGTATGAAAGCCTACATGTATGTATTCATTGTTGGTAGTTATTGTAGGGGAAGTGAATTACTGGTAATCAAGGATACATCTTGGTACACGTACCATCCAGAATGTGGATACGTTTCCCTTGGTACATGTGACCATTATTTATCCTCCCAAGTAAATGTCCAGTCACGAGTACATGTGTGAATTAATGTTGACACCAGATGACATTGTTACTAGCAGTTTCTAACGCACGCAAAGAAATCTTAATTTTATTCTTTAAAAGTCACAATTTCAATTAGAACGCCGGTACCAATTTAAATTTTATTGATACGTTATAAGAAACAATAGCCAATCAGTTGCATTTAAAGTTCGTGGATACATTTGAGATCATTGGTTTTTACTGATGATGGTCGGCATGTATGTTCAGATGTTATCTATAAATATGAGATAAATGTGCATGGCTGTGAAAGCCGTAAATACCAATAATAGCAGACACGCAAGCAATATAGTCATCTGGCAAGTCACATCACAACACACTGTTGTGCTGTACATACAAAATTCATCCACAGTCGAGAGATCAACTCACAAAGTAAAGACAGTTATAATTAATGGTGATGATGATAAAAACAGGTGATATAATAATTGGGATAGTCTGAGTATACACCTAGAGCCTATAGTTCATTTTGCTGTCAGTGGATATTAGGGTAGTAGGTTGAAAATAGGGTGTGAAGGAAAACAAGTTGAAGGGAGGTTTGATCTTAATGAGTCACCTGACAATTTGTTTCATTTATCTGAAGGATTAAAGTTGTTGTTGAAAAGTGGCATGCTATTTTTTGTCAAAGTCAAAACTTTCATGCACCCACCCTTCCATGAAATGCAAGGCAAAACAAGCGAAAAAACAGTCCCAAGAGATCTCAGCTTGTAAAAAAAGTCAGTCAGTCAAGTATGGTATGCTGATGTGTTGAACATTGGAATTGCCATGCTAATATTTGAATACACAACACCCAAAAAACTAAACAGTTTATGACACAAACACCACAGACAGACGACAGACAGAGCCACACCACGAAACTAAACAAGGAAACATGCAAAGAGAAAGATTAACATGCAGACCTTTTCCTTGTAACTTGCTCCGAGCATGGAAACACTTTTAAGATCAACTGCTCCCTTCAGACCCTTCTTTCCTTCTTTCTTTTTCCTTTTTTTACATATGCATTTCTTGCATATGCAGAAACAACAGCAGAGTAGTAAGAGTCCAGCAACTATGGCAATTGCAATGATTGCCCACATAGGTACTATGGTGCACAAACAGAAAACAGTGAAAGAATCCAGAAAAGTGGAGATTGTAATGAAAGTAAGTTCACCAGTCTGCTTCTCTGGTTTACATCTTGTACATCAAAGAAACTTCATCGTGATTGGTTATATAATTTGAACAAGACGAAATTGATTGGTTGTTTTGAATGTGGCTGTCACTTGATTGGTTAATTTTTTTGAATGAAACTATTAAAATCAATTGGTTTATTTGAGTGCAGCTGTCAATTGGATAAGGATGTCACTAGATCCTGTTTTTTTTTTGTTTTGTTTTTTCGATGAGGCTATTAAGAATGTAATATATTTTTCAGATGATCATTCTTTGTTGCTTTGACAAGAGTAACAGAGAAACAGCTAACAATGAAGAAAGATACCTGAAAAAAAGTGAAGTATTAAACAGGCAATATGAACCGATGAAACCTGTGTGTGAAAAAAGAGAATGACAAAAGAAAGCAACCAGTGTTAACTTGAAGAGGGTGTCATATGGCCATGCATCACACTCAACTTAAACCAATTTAATATATATATTTATCAAGGATGGAACAATAATAATCCTGAGGATCCTCAAAGTGGTTATTGTTTCATCCCTTAACCCTCTCACTGGCTTTGTCATATACCAAAACTGTAAGTGGTTTTTATTTCATGAGTCATTTGATAGCACAATTTTACCATGTATAAAATACACAAGTTTCTATACGCAATTTTGACTGAAATCCACGACAATTTGAAAATGTCAAAAACTATAATGGAAACCAGAGAAAATCAATATGGTTGGGAAAACAGCAAACCAGTGAAAAGGTTGTTTGAATACATTCACATTTTATAAATATGTCAGTTCTGTGCATTGTATGATGATGTTACATTTCAAGAGACACTGTCATCATAACTGTACATTTGCATGTGGTGCTTTCTAGTCTGTCAGGAAACACACTACATTGATCTTCAATAGGATGATTCAACGGAGGTATGCATTAAGACAGACAATGAAAAAAAGCTAAATGAAAAATTATTTGCACAAAATCAGTGGGTTGATAATAGTTGCAGGCTGGTAGTAACAATAAAGTACATACTAAGATATGTTCATGAGTAACATTCATCTCAAGTTGCCATAAGGCATTGAATTCACTACACATAGAACACATGTACAGTTATGACAGCAGCGTCGGTTTAAACCCACCTAAATTTTAGATAATGGCTGGTTCAACATAGCTTGTGTTTTATTTTTTAGCCCAATTTGACAATTTTATTTCCTATACTGCAAAGGTGCACAATTTCCAGTGAAAAAGACGAATTAGTTTTATCATATATCACATAGGGACTCATATACAAATTGTTTTCAGATTCTCAATGTGTTGAAGCTCAGTTTACAGAGTGATAACAAAAACACAAACTTGCTGAACTGATGCCATGCAGTGTGACGCATAACCTTTTTCCCATTTTTATCTTTCTTTTTCTTTTTCTTCTTCCGGCAACAAGTGCAGTAGCAGACAACGCAGAAGATAATTGCGAGAATAATTGCACCAAGTATGAGCAGAATGACTACCCATATCGGGATACTATCCCAGAATTCATCGCTGGAACCTGAACCTGTTGTCGGTGCTGCTGTGGTAAGGGTCTCTCTCTCCCATCTATTTATTACTAGTATGGAGAGTGGGATATTAATATTTATCATACACCACCATCACCTATTAGGATAACCTCATTCTAAGCATGCACATACACCCACAATGCATTGCAATACAACACAAGACCTGTGATTTTGGTTAGTCATATTTTTTGCTTTTGGTTGAAAGTCTAAGAAATACATAAAATGAAAGTTAAAAACTTTCTTTTGATGATATAGTTATAGTACATATCGGCAATGCATCTAAGCCTACCAATTGGGCAACTGACTAAATAAATTATAGCCGAAAACAAAATAAATGTTTTTTTCAAAACCGCTGGGAAAATAAATATGGCAACTAGTAAAAAATGACTTTCGTTTTGTTCGTGCAACAAATCGTTTTCAATTGACAGCAGAATTGATACAAATATATTTGTGCCAGAAGTGGTAAATTTAGAGCATACAGATGACAAGTAATTTAATAATAATAATGGAATAATTATGTGAGGCGATAGTTTCTATTTAACTCTCAATAGTACAAAAAAGTATATGTAATAATTTAGTTCGAAAACAAATCTGCAACTTTTTTGCAGGAAAAAAAAAACATTGTTCGCAGAAAGTTTCCCTAAATATTTGGTAAAACTGTTCTACAGCAGCGAGTTGGATAATTTTTTTTTTCTCATGAATTAAATTGATACTAAGGTTCAGGCCCTTATAAATTACAATAAATTATTTGTTCTGAATATCAATCGTTTTAGGTATCAGTTTGGTATAATCAAGAAAACCAATATCTGGTCTTGTGTTGGGAAAGGTGAAAAAATTCAAAGATCAGTAGTAAACAGCCTGTCCTGAAATCAGATCAAGGTAGAGAAACCATAATTCAGTCATGAACAAAAACAAAAGTAGTGCACAATTTAACCACTAGAGGGCATTCTTCATCAGACTAACTGAGACATGCATGCAGCATAGAAGCACCAAAGAGTACGAGTCAACTCAGAGAAAAATTATGTGAATTAGAATATCATGTTGCATTATGGGTAGGCATGTCACATTTGAAAAGCAGTTAAGCAGAATAAATATTCATTTTAGTTCAATTGTATGTCACAAAACAAAATAGTTTTTTTTTTTTTTTTGGTTGGCTTATATTAGCTTGATGTACATGTCAAAAATACATCTGAGCAAACTATTCAAATCACATTGCCTCGAAAAAATTTTAAACAAAATATAGAATGAATATAAACAACATTTTCAGAACTGGATTTTTGATGAAAAAAATGCAACAATGAGCAGCGGTTTATCTTTTTTAACATGACATGCCTTCCCACACTAACCGAATGTCTCTACCACAGACCAGCTAAATACACAAAAGATGCCAAACAATTCTCAAACCGCTGTCACCATGAAATATGTGGTATCATGAATAAATACATTGCCAGGACACAAATATCAGATAAATAGGTTTTAACAGGTGGTTCTCAAAATGTGTCTGTCTTCAAAACAGAACAGGTAGAAAAAAATTTCACACATAACAGGGGGCAAATGTTAATGCGAATTTGAGATTCAATATCAGGCAGTTTTCAATAAAATTCCATAATTTTGGCCTAAAATCAGAATCTAATCCTTTTCTGCATATTTCCAAGAATATGTCAAGCTATTCCAGGAATAACACACATTATTAATTAATCCAGAATGAAATTTGAAACAGAATGTTTTCTCCTGGTATTGCAAATTAAGAAAGACATTCTTGTAGAGACTGCATGTGTAGTTATAATTTTGTATATGGTTCATAATTACAAAAGATTAGCAATTAAGAAATAGACATCACAGCATCTTGATTAAATAAATAGTAGGATTTCACCAACCAATCTATAACAGTTGACATCTTATTTAGTAAAGGCAGTTAAATTTAAAACCATTTCACAACCAATAAATGCATTTATAATTTCATCAATGATTTTTACCGAAGGCCAAATGACTGTAGTTATTATAATTAAAATATAATAAAGTTATTATTATTATTATTATCACAGCTGACCATCACAAAATTCTAGTATCTGCAGTCCCACATCAAATAATAATAAGTAAACAATTTTAAATTAAATGAAAACAAAAAGTAATAATTTATAAAATGTATTTAACATATATTTTCAATATAGCTTTGTCCATGGAACCACAAATTTCAACAGCCATATTGTTTTCATAGCACCCTAATAGATTTACACTTACTTGGAAGTTCATTCAGTTTGTCTACAAATTTGTTAGCTAAGTTTTGTGCACCACGTCCCAAATCCAATCCACCTCCACCTCCACCTCCATCTCCTCCTTCTGTTGCTGCTGCAGCTGCCGTATCCATGGCATCCGTCGCCTCGGCAGCATCTTGCAGCCTCCTGCCTAGATATTTGTCAGACATGACAAAAGGCATCAGGAGTTAAAATAAGAGAAAGTTGTGACCTGAAAGTAATGAAAATGAAATAGGTCAGTAAGGATGTGTTCAACAATTTATGCGATATGGCTGCAAAAACGGTCAAAATTTATCATTAATTTAAACAAAAACCCATACAAACAAGAATTCAAATAACAGTTGTCATCATGTCATATTAGATTCAATACGAGTTCTAAAGCGATACAAATGTAAATTCCAACATGCACATAAACTGACAAATTTGAAGTGGTGGATGTCTTCCTTAGAATGCACATCACATTCACGTCACATTGAACTGAAAAGCAATGTAATATGAGATGGAAATAGAATCACATCTCAAAACACAAGGCATGATTCAGTGAAATGTTTTTGCAGGCATTTTGGTCCCTATTGCAAGCCGGCTTTGCGGTATTCTCGTAATAACTAAGCTCATGATATTTATTTAAATGAGATGAAAGTTCAGCAAGAAAAAAACATTAGCGGAGTTAATTGGTGATTATGTGATGAGTTGAAAGAGTTATTTATAGAAATATTCATAATGAAAATTACACATATGCCCTAGTTTTCATGGAGTCCATACACATAGAAAAATAGAAATAGAAATATCTGAAAAATGGTGGAATAGAATAGAATAGAATAGAATAGAATAGAATAGAATAGAATAGATGCATAATTGATGTAATAATGACTGTGTTTTATGAAGGAAGGAAAAACTAACTCATGAAGTCATGAAGGAAACAATTAATACGCATCACTGTTAAATATGAATATTCAATGGATTTCATTGTAGGAGATTTCACATGTCCACTAGGTTTTAAATTTACTAGCTTATTCAACAATACATTCTGTTGTCAAATTTGAATATTCACTAAGTTTTAGGTTTACACATCAAAAAAAATAAAACCCAGCTAATAACTGCATGCTCTTTACAACATCTGAACAAAAACTGTCAATGACTATGGGCATTAGTTATCAACAATTCACTTTATTTGCCCAGTGAAAGGGAAAGATAACAGACACAACTCCATGATAAGTGTGCAAACTATAAAGGGATTTACAGAAACACTGAGTGAATATCAAATTCATTGATCTATACAACTCAGAGTCTTAGTATAACTGCTTTAATTTTATTTCTGTGGTTCATTCAGTTCTGGAGCAGTAAAATTGGGTTGTCTGGACAGGAGGGAACCAAGTATGTTGTTATCTGGGCAGGATGGAGACACAATGTTGTTTTCTGGGCAGGATGGAGACACAATATTGTTCTTCTGGGCAGGATGGAGACACAATGTTGTTTTCTGGGCAGGATTGAGAAACAATGTTTTTTCTCTGGGCAGGATGGAGACAATGTTTTTCTATGAGCAGGATGGAGACACAATGTTTTTCTCTGGGCAGAATGGAGACACAATGTTGTTTTCTGGGCAAGATGGAGACACAAAGTTGGTCTCTGAGCAGGATGGAGACACAATGTTGTTCTCTGGGCAGGATGGAGAAACAATGTTTTTCTCTGGGCCGGATGGAGAAACAATGTTGGTCTCTGGACAGGATGGAAAAACAATGTTTTTCTCTGAGCAGGGTTGAGACATAATGTTGTTCTCTGGGCAGGATGGAGACAATGTTTTTCTCTGGGCAGGATGGAGACACAATGTTTTTCTATGAGCAGGATGGAGAAACAATTTTGGTCTTTGGGCAGAATGGAGAAACAATGTTTTTCTCTGAGCAGGATGGAGACACAATGTTTTTCTCTGGGCAGGATGGAGACACAATGTTGTTTTCTGGGCATGATGAAGACAATTATGCTCTCTGTGCAAGACAGAGATACAATATTCTTTCATGAGAATTAGTTTCTCGGAAAGCATTAAAATTTTAAAATCACAAGTGACTGGCAATTAGAATGGGATGGTACTCAGGAATGCATTATGGAATAAGTATTTGTGAAAACAGAATTTTACAAAGAAACATTTAGTATATTTCCATCAGTGAATAAATAGAAAAATCTGCAGATTATAAAAATTAACGACTCATATTTTGTTACTTAGTAATTTGAAAAATCTGGTAATTTTTAAGTGATTCAGGTTATATGTTATAAATGCATTTTATGTCACAATAAAATTTAACTTTGCATTCAAAAAGTGATATTCCATCCTGATATTAAACTGTCTGTGTCAATGAATGAATGACTACCTATAACTATTACTAATATACTATCGGTAATTTCCTGAGCTATATCCGGTAAAGACACATTTTGAAGATGGATGTTGGTAACTATGGTAACTATTAATAGTGAAAAATTTTAAATTCA